TTTGGCGAGATTTCGATTAATACCTCACTTTTAATTAGCTATGACAAAACCAACTTAAAGTGAATTGTAAAGTCGTGCAGGAGTCATGCAGACGCAATCGGGAGTTGGTTTTCTTTACAAGTTTCTATTAAATGTCCTCATACAAAAATTACTTTCAATACACTTTTTTTCTGAACTTCGCAGATTCTTTTTCATATTCAGGACAAATAAAAGGAAGGTCGAAATTTTATACTATTATTTTGAAGTTATGTCTGACGGTGTTCGAATATGGGGCCACCCAGAGCAGAATATGTAAACAAATATGAAATGTAATAAAATAAAGTAAATAAATAAGTAAATAAAAAAGTAAAAAAACAAAAAAATATTTTGTTTTTCTTATTGATATTTTATGTCCAAAAGTAGTTAGTTACAAGTTAGTTGACATGTAATGCAGAGGTATCCAGGTCTGACTTTTTTGCGGCCATCGCCCCACAAAAGTAGTTAGCTTTTTTCGAACAAAATACACAGTTAATAGTTAGCACTAGTGTTCGCGTAAACAGACTAAAGTTAGGTATAAGCTAACGTCACTCCCTGCAGGGTATATATTTGAGTTATAAGAAAACAAGGCAAATAGCAAGATCGGCTAAAAACGCATAATTTTTTTTTACAAAACGGCTAACAAATCGGCTGCCGACTAAACCGAAATTTCTCCGGCTATCGCAACCGGCTAAATCTAGCCGGAAAACGGCTAAAATGGCAACACTGTTAGGGACTGCTATAACTATTTATCTGCTAATCCGAAATGTATCACATATATGTTTGCGAGCATCGATGATATAGCTAAGCACAAAGAGATGTTGCTCGATCGATGGGCAAACTTAGCTTTGCTACTGCAGATGCAAAAAAGCCATTACTTCACTTGCCTCGGTATAAAAACAGTATCTCATATGGTTTGACAGGTAGCGGCCTTATGAGAAATGTAGTACTATTTAAAAATAAAGTACTTTATAATGACGTCTACTCAGACTGTGGAGATGGAGAGTACGACCAAGGATTATCCCGCCCCTAGGTGACAGAATCTTTTCTGTGTTTGTAAGGTTTGAATTTTTGAGAAATAAAGTTAGTTTAATTGTATAAAAATGCGTATTTATTCATTCATGTTCAACTTGTCACACCCATCACAAAATTAAGTCACGCCCGTCACAGTTGAATTTGGAGCATATAATCTATAATTTCACATAGAGGTAAGAAACTTCGGCATAAATGTTGAAAATGTATATTTAACTAGACGTAATTAGCAGAACAACTCCGATACAAGCAAGTAGTAGCAAATTTGGTTTGCGCACTCGTCACACCCGTCACAGTGACTAAAGTAGGTATAAATCGCTTGGATTACATTTTTTTTTATTCTTATTTTTAGGCATTGTGCCCACTGCTAAAACCTAACATATAACAATCGTTTTTAAAAATTTGCTATTATAGTTTAAGAATTACACCTTAAAATGTAAGTTGAAATGTCACACCCGTCACCGTGGAATGAGCCAGATACACAATGACCAGGTGATTAAACGTGTAACACCTCTGAGTGTGGTTATTCAGACTTAATTTTTATTTAAATGAAGAGCATAGGTCACTTAAATCAAAATTAAAAACAAATTAAAATAGATTGGTGAAGCCAAAATTTCGAAAATCTAACTTAAATGAATCTGGTGAAACTGGCTGTATGAGCCGTTAAAAGCCTTATTTAATTTGTCTCTTAAAGAAGGCATCTTTCCAACCGTATGGAAGGAATCGTTCATAACCCGGCTACATAAAAGCGATAGCAGGTCCTCGGTGGAGAACTATCGGGGCATAGCTAAGCACTCTGCAATTCCTAAATTATTTGAAGCAATTATTACAAATCAGTTGACGCATTCTATCTCCTCTACCATTTCATACTGTCAACATGGGTTTTGCAAAGGCAAATCAACTTCACCAAATTTACTACAGTTCACAACCTTTATCGCGTTTAGTGAAAACAAAAATGTGGATGTTATATATACCGACTTCAGTAAAGCATTTGACAAAGTATGTCACTAGTTGCTTATCTATAGACTTGATCTTTTTGGTCTTCAGCCTAATTTTCTACGTTGGATCTCTTCATACGATAGATCACAAAGGGTTATGTTTAAAAATACTATTTCTGACGTCATTGATGTTACTTCAGGAGTCCCGCAAGGTAGCCACCTAGGCCCGATTCTGTTCTTGCTTTTTATAAACGATATTTCTACAGATATCAAATTTTCAAAAATTTTAATATGCGCAGATGATATGAAAGTTTATTAGTCTGTTCCAATAGCAGTCCGGTTTACAGGATTTAGTCAGAACTTACAGGAAGTCGTTCCTATTGACATAAAACCTGTAAGTGGGAACACATTTTAGAGAGTAACTGAGCAACTGTTCATAGTCAGAAGTTACAGGATTTAGTCCGGAGTTTTTTTCGTGTAAGTTCATGAAAAGTGTCAAACGATCAGCTGATTTACATGTGCAAACAAAAACAGAAAGCGGTGAAAGCAAAGAACCTTATATTTGTTACAAAATGGAAGTAAACAACGAAATATTTGAATATGTATAGATTTTAATAATTATTTAGTGATATTTCAGCCAAATCAGTGTAGTACCAATGACATGTAAACAAACCGTCTGACGTTTTTACAGGAAATAGTGCTTTTTGCGTTCCTATGCACTTCTGCATCTGTTCTCCTTTTACTCTCATTTGAGAGCGTAAAATTGTAGTTTGACAGTTCCACAGGTTTTAGTCCGAAGTTCAAAGGAACAGACTATATAAATCGTACGTATCAATCAAAGAAAAGCATTTGCTACAAGCAGACTTAAACAGCATGGCTAACTGGTGGTATGACTCTAAATCTGGAAAAATATAAAGTAATGCACTTCTCGCAAAGAGCTGTTCAGCCACTTTCTTATACAATAGATAACCATAGGTGCGTTTGACAAGTCAAAAATTTCTAATAGTTTTTCCAAATTTTTATTGGATGGCGTTCGATAACGACAAAAAATTATCCAACACCCAAAAATTGAGAGAGCAAGCGTTCATTTTGATGCAAGAGAAGCGTTCATTTTGTACTGGCAAAATTTTAGTCAGCAAAAATTATCCAACACGAAAACATATGATCACAAAACATATGGTTGCAATTTTTGTAAACAAACAAAATTGCATTTTCCGAGTTTTGGTATTTATATGCTTTTTGGCTGCCTGCTATGTGACTTTATGATAGCGCCAACTAGTTTTTACTTCTAGAAATGTTAATGGCGAACATTGAACGTTCACTTTCCTTTTTTCTGTGGAGGCAACATGAATTTCAGTTTGTTTACAAATAAAACAGCTGGTGTGTCTTCTTCTTCCGGTTCTTGGAAGTAATGGCTAATTTCCTGTTCGTTTACTTTTTTGCTTTTTCATCTTTTTGGGAGAGAATTTTCGCTTACTCTCTTGATTTTGATTGTTGGCTGGTGTTGGCTAATTTTGTTATCGAACGCAACTCATAACTTGGAACAGGTATACAATTTTGTGGACCTTGGTATCACTATAGAAAAAGGGATGCAGAACGAACTAGATTCTAGGACTAGTTCGGAACTACCGAAAAAGGGAAGCAGTGGGGGCTTGTTTACTTTAAATAGACTTTTGCTTTGTGGGTTTTTCGTTCAAATACGCTTTCAGTCTGCACTTCGCAGATGCTTTTTGGATAGTTTGGTATAACAAAACTAAAATTTGTGTCAACATGTTAACATTTTGGGACCTTCTGGAATCTAACCAACAACAGCCAGCACCCCTGCAAATTCAGCTACAGCCAAAGGTATGTAAACGTAAATTTCTTAAAATCAATCAAATAAACTTGATTTCAGATTGAAAACACATTTCTTTGCAAATAATTAAAAATCGCTACCATGGTTAAACCAAAAAGACTGTTAAAAAACATCTTGTTACTTTTTTCGTCTGCCGATTTTATAACTGGTTCGGAACTATAGAAAACGGGGTGCAAAGCGAACTAGATCCCATCTGTCGAATTTAGGACTGGTTCTGAACTATAGAAAAGGTAATGCAGTGGGGGACAATATCCAACGCCTATGACATCGCCGTCTTAAATTCGCCAGTTGTTTGCATGCAAAAGAGATTTATTACGAACTAGTAGTGGGTCTAAATGTACTAGAAGCGCACCAATTCAGAACCAGAGATTTCCCACACGGGGCTGGCATAGAGAAGCAGCGCATGTGAATCAGTGGTGTAATTATACTCGGCATAGAGCGCATAATATCCCAGAATCAGCTGTTCAGTGTAATCAGTTAGTCTGTTCCAGTACTCCAGGATTTAGTTAGGAACACAGAACTGAAGAATGCGTATTCATAGCCTAAATGAAGTCGACACTAAAGTTAGTTGCTGCTTTTTTGTCATAATTTTCAATGAAACGGCGTCAACTAACTTTATAATCGACTTTCTTTCGACTATAAATATGCCCCAATGTATGTACAAGAACGACTTCTCAGTAATTCCTGTTAATCTGATGGGGACTGGAACAGAGGAATGAGAGCAATATGTCACAGAGCGAAAAATCCAAATTCTCCAGACTTCGCTGTCATGCGCTGTCATGCGCTTCATCGGATAATCGCTTGTATTCAAAGCTCAATAAACAAATTCGATATGTACATATGTTATGCGCTGCAGCACAGTGCAAGTATAACCAGCGCTTAATGTTCGTTCCCAACTTTGACCTAAAATCCGGAGAAAGAAATGACATTGAAGCTAGTAACTTTTGTATCAGTTTTGAGGGCTTTTAACATAAACTACGTAATTGGATATGTCAAGGGAACAATCATAAGTGTATCATTACACATGCATGTTCGTATCCATATCCGTATTCATATTTAATTAATTACGCACCAAGTACACAATGAAATTTACCTCTCATTGATTCAACAGGTGTTCAGTATAAAAGAGTTTGCTACCGAATATTTTGTATCATTCACTTCTTGCGTTCGCTGCGACAAAGAACTAAATTTAAATTTTATTTAACAATTTATCCAACACGATTCCAAAAATGGCATTCAAGGTTTATTGATTTCTCGCGTTGGATTATAAAAACCTGCTCTAATTGTTTGTCAGTACTAAATATTAAGCCCAATTTTTTCTTTCTTTGCAGATTGTCTTTGCACTCGTTTTCGTTGCATTAACCAACGCCGGATACGCACCCATTGCGCCCGTTTATCATGCCTCACCTGACGCTGCGCCTATAGCTGTAGCCCAAAAGTTTATTGTTAAATCAGAGGAATACGACCATCACCCACAATACAAGTTCTCTTATGGTGTTGACGATAAGCTGACCGGTGACTCAAAGACCCAAGTGGAGGAACGTGACGGCGATGTTGTGCGCGGTGAATACTCACTCATCGACTCCGATGGATACAAACGTACTGTTCAATATACTTCTGATCCTGTGAACGGTTTCAATGCTGTGGTGAACCGTGAACCGCTTGTGAAAGCTGTTGCTGTGGCTCCAGTTGCTCCCTATTCCAGTCCGGTAGCGCACTATGCCACTCCGTCTCACTATGCTGCACCTGTTTCACATTACTCTGCTCCAGTCGCGCATTATACAACGTATAACAGCCCGGCATTAGTAAAGTATCACAATTGAAAACTATTTAAAACTTGAAATACTACTATTTAGAATTTAGCTAAATGAGTCGACAGGTGAATATGTTACTTTTTTATGTTAATCTTATTTATGTAAGTACATATGTACTGTGAATGTAATTTCGAATTAAAGAAAAGTAATTTAATATTTTTTGTTTTAATAGAATTTGTCGTGCCCATTTAAAAAAATTCTAGACCAGATCAGTTAATTGCTAATACCTAACTTTTAAGTGATTCGGCTACGGTTTTTTAGGAAAAAAATATTACTATTTTCCATTCTTTAAGTACCTCAATGGGAGAAGGGATGTGGCCATTTGCAAGTTATGCCCATTTTTAAAACACTTAGTTGCATAGCTGTTGAAAATGTGGAAAATCCCTTCCCTCTAGCAGAAAGTTTCAGATATGTATACTAAACCATCGATTAGGCTTTGCTCTGATATTCAATTCACGGTTTTGCATTAGGTTTGTTCGTCGAAAAGTCCAGCAATAATAATCCATAACTCAAATTTCAGAGATTTAAAAAAGTTCTCTCTCAAATAGAGTACCTTACATATTACTGCGGGAACTCGATTTTGCAGGATCCGGGAAGTGTCATCGGCAGCTAGTGTCCATGGTTGCATTTCAATTATAAAGAATATTTATAAAATTTTTTGTTTGAAATTCGTTCGGTCAACAAAAACAAGGCCTATTATACATATGTTTCAATTCCTTAGCCGTAGAAACTGTCGGGTTTGCTATATCGACTATGATTGCGACTGTATTCCAATTACGAATATAGTTTTTTCAGCCGAGTACCTTTTAAATTATCGGAATTAACTAAATTAATTGAATAAGTAAATATTTTTTACTTTTTTTTAATTTCGCTACTAATTCTTTTTATAAATCATATATTTTAAAATTTAACATAATGGAACCAGGTTTTCTGTCGAAAAATTTATTATTTAGAAAATTTACGATTTTACAGTTTATTTTATCCTCCCATTCGGCTTTGTTTACTTTTACTTGAGAAATTTCATCGCCACCGGAAATGCGGAATCTTGTATTGTATCATTCTTGTTACCATATAGTGTTTAGTGTTGGACAATTTTTGCTCTTAAAATTAAGAAAATTATGTCGAGCAAACATAAAACTAGGTACTCAAAAACGCGAATATGTGGTAGATTTCAGACCTTATGTGGTAGATGCTCAAAAAAGTGGTAGATCTACCACAAAGTGGTATAAGTCCGATCACTGGTGTTAAATGGAAATGAAGGTTCATTTATACTAGCACGTATACACAGCAGCAAGCTCATGCCACCAACAGCGATCTTGTATGCTTAAGATTTCTACTGGGTACATACATATGCACACGCATGTATTTTAACATTCGCATTCGCAAAAATCAATGCGCAGCTTTTGCGAATGCGAATGTTGTGCAAGTGCACTGATAGAACGTATATCTGACAAGCAAAGAGACAAATTGTTGCCAATATTTTTTGACTGCCGGCTAAAAGTCAGACTTATAAACTTTGATAAAAGTGCCTTTAAACATATTATTTCTTAAGCTATATAACTGAGTCTTACAAGTCCCCACTTCTAATTGATCTTTAACGTACGTCGAAGTCATTTCAAGTGGGGCTCTTTTACAAATTTAATTTTAATTTTAGCAAAAATTTGAAAAAATCAGTAATTTTGTTCTCTTGTCGGGAAGTATTGGACCTTTGGCTAAGAATTTCTGTGGCAAAATTGTCCCACTACGTCCCTCTTATTTTGCCATTTAAAGTCAAAGAGTAAGATCCCTCAATAGGGATTTCCGGCAGCAATTTTCAACGTCTAGCTTTAAAGAGAATCGATGCTCAAATAATTAAAAAATCTGTACGTCTGACGTTTATTTGGATCGAATGTTATTTGTCGAGCATCTGTTGAAAACCCTGAATTCATCGCTAGTTTTTTATACTTTTTCTTAGATAATTGTAATTATTTTTTCTCTCATAAAATGGCTTATTATCTATTGACGAGTTGGCCTTGGCATGCAATATATGTTGAAAATTTGCGTTCATCTGCCTCAAAATATGAAAACGCAATAAGCGAATGGAATCGAACAACAAATTATTTGATAGCTTATGGCACCGCCAGCGGTGAGTAGTCAATTGTGACTGCCTACAACTAGGAAAAGTCGAGTTCAGCAAATAAGAAAACTAATTACAGGTGAAGCTTTTGAAGAAGGCACCCCCAAGAAAGTCAGGCGGATACGCCGATATTTTCAGCCCCGATGCAATTCTCAAAAAGGAATTATTCTTGCACCGAAAAAAAAATAAATATAAGTGAAAGTCCTCTCAACTGGTGCAGCGTTTTCCACGCAGATATTTGTCGAGCAGTTATTTAGTGGCGCAGGTTTGATTTACAACCCTTTAAGAAATAATTTTTAAATTCAAGAACTAAATAAAATAAACATTATTAAAAATTACTAACTTTTCCATTTTTTTATTTATCTACCTGAATCACCTTATTTACTTACCTAAATTATTTCTTAACAATACTTGACATTCGCATTCGCATCCGCGGATGTCTACAATTCCACATTCGCAACATCCCTAGTACGTACATATATATCTATGTACCAGTGTTGATATTTTAAGTAAAATTGTACTTTTTTAGTACAAAAGTACAATTTGCCGATTTTAATTATAATTTCAACATCAAAAATATTTTTTGTACCAAACGCTCAAATCTCTTCTAGCACTTTGATTCTTACTCCGTTTACATTTAAGTAAATGGATATACCTACATTTCATATTTGCTACAAAACGAAATTATGAATTGTAATTTTGGATGTAAACGTAATTGTGAACAGTAATATTAGTGTTGTGCGTTATGGTGATTGCGATTTCTTATGACCGGCGGATGAAATATCCCTGATAGCTATTTTTTTTTTTTAAATCTTTGGAAATGCAATTTACCTAATGGCGATCCTACATACATATATATTAATTGAGCAATTCGGGTGTTGAAAGAAAAAAAATGTAGGTAAATTTCATGCGTTGAAATTAAAAATTTCTATTGAGGATTGCCATTTTATCGATAGTCTTGTGTATTAATTTTTAATCATTATTGTCTTCATCTTTGACAAAATTACACAGTGACCCGGTATTTATTTTATTTTATTTTTTAATGAATTTTAATTATTTTTTTTTTATAAAATTGTAGCTGATTGTCTAACAAAAACCTTACAAATAAATCCAAACTTGAAAGATTGAAAAAAAATCAAAAAAGTTTCATCAAATTTTCACCGTTTTTGTTCAGAATTTGTAGACCTGGTTTGGGTTAACATTTTTGTAGCCCATTCATTCTAGTGTAATAAGGTGCAAGTTTTAAGTGTCTTAAAAATACCGTTGATTTTTGGAATTTTTTTGTTTGCGGTGTTGCGCGCTTTCTTCCATATAATGAATGTTCGTTTTTTTATTTTATGTGGATGAAAATGCGCAACCCCATTGTTGGTGTTTTTTTTTCAATATTTTAAATTAAGTTTTATTTGTATAGTTTTTGGTAGACAATGAGCTATGCTTCTATAAAAAAAAAAATAAAAATTAAAATTAATTTGGAAAAAATATGATAAATAGTCCAAACCGGGTTACCGTAAAAATGTGAAATATAATTCAAGAATTTATTTGTGTATAATTTAAGTTAAGCTCTAAACGTAATGAAACTTAGTTTAACTTAGTGGGCTTTCTGACAAAACTGGCTATGGCTTTATAGGCTAGCTGAAGAGATCTCAATGATAAGTTACGTTAAATTAAGCCTACACTAACTGAAGCTGTACAATGAATTGAACAATAAACACACTGCAGCAAAAAAAAAATGGGTTTTGTTTGGTTGCGTGAAAAGGGAGGTAATGGATTGACGGAAATTGTGAAAAGTACAATTAAGCTCCAAAAGTTACACTTTTTGTCATTAATTTGGTACAATTGAAAAAGCTTAAATATCAACACTGGTATGGACTCATTTCGCATTTCAGCTCTACCGCTACCAAGCAAAGTTAGCAATGAAGCTCGCATAAACCGAAATAAGAATATATGAATGAAGCAAGCAAGCAGTGTTGCCACTTTGTGAGTAATTCCTCAAAACGTGAGGAATTTCGGGTGCGCTTGAGTATTTTTTGAGGATTTTTATTTTGAGGAATTTTCTCTTGATATATTTGCAGATAACCATGTTTCACACAAGAGAGTTGTTAAATCGCTCTGCAAATTTTAGAACAAAAAAACTTTCCGAAGTTTTATTAACAGCGAAATACACCACACAACCGACTTGTCAAACATTCTTCAAACCTACTTTTCCCTTTTCGCCATACACCATGCAAACATGACTCGTTCTAGCAATCAATTAGTTTTCTTCCGGTTCACAATTTAAAAGGGTTTGGTTTTCTTCAGTTTTTCTCTCTTGCGTCCTCATTCGGTAAAAATTCGATTTTATCATACACAGCGTAAGCAGTTTGATCAAACGTCAACATGGCGGCCAGAAAATCAAAAAATTTTGATTTTTGTTCACATTTCCCTCAAACGGCTGGTCAAACCTTCAAACACCCCCATACACAACATAAATAGCTTTCAAGAAAGGGACATTTCGCTTGGTTTGTCAAGCAGCTTGTGTGGTGTTTTTCGCTCTTAAGTACATCTGCACTTGCTTCTAAATATTTAAAATGTTATCGATAATTTATTTTTTCATTCCATCGTTATATTTTCAATTTATTTTGAACTTGCAAAATCTCGATAACGAATGGAGAGAACACGCATTGTTCGATCAAAAGAATATTCATATTAGGGCTATTCGCGATCCGGTGCAAATGGCCTAGCATCATTGCATTGCAAATTTGTATTGCAAATTATTTGCAATACACAAACAAAATACACGCATTTGCATTTGTCATGGCTTGACAAATTTGCAATACCTAAAATCCATAGCATAAAAATGCTATGCATTGCATTCATAAAAAAAACCAAAGTTGATGCACATAAATTGTTTTGCAAAAGCTTTACCACGACAGTTTAATAGAGGTCGCTCACAATCCATGGCATATT